ACTGACTCGGAGGGAAGTACATACTTAACGGCTGCATTGGTGTCGTTTCGTCGTCGAAATCCTGCAAAAAACAGTAATATTGTGTCAGTTCTACCACTGTTACAGTCCTTAGTACTACCAAGTTCTACCAGTTTTACACACAGTTCTACCTAGTTGTACCTAGTTTTACACATTACCAGTTATACATTAGAAGTTACCCAGTTATACATAGTTATAGCACACTGTCGGTTTTACGCAGTTATACAGACAATTCTACCAGTTATATAGAAATGGTTGTACCTAGTTTTACCTAGTTTTACAACACAACCGGTTTTACTTATAGTTCTACCAGTTTTACAATGGTTAAATTTTGAATCAAACCCGACCAAAGTTTAAGACATAAGTTTGATTTCAGCTTTGGATTCTTCTGGGTAAAGTAGTGGTCTTTGGGTTGAGGGTTTTAAACTGGTGCTTCTGTTTGGACGAAGAGGCTCGTCAGAACTTAACTCACACATCTTGTCAGGCAAGCAGCTCACACGATAACGAACCCGATCGGATCCATGGTACCCTCAATCGGATCTGTAGTAGACTCGATCGGGTTCGATGTTGGCTTGGTCGTGTCTGCTACACGCTCGATCGGGTTCACCGTTTAAGACATAAGTTTGGACTGAAACCTCCCCCTCTTGAACCTCACTGTCCTCATTGATAGTTGGATGTGGATTTCCCAAAGTAATTGCGTTAGCAGTAGCAAACTCGTTAGGGTTCATGATAGACTTTCCTGAGAGCTGGCCGGAAGAAGTGGAGGTTAGCTTGCCTTCCAAGTGAGCTACCTTGTTGCTCAAAACATCGAACTTCTTGTTCAGGTCGTTTAGAGATGTGTTGACATAATTGCGAATCTCATATAACTTTTTTCTTGATCAAGGTTGCTGTTGGCTTGTCCTTGGAGAATTTGATGAAGTATTGTTTGCGTCCTGTTCTGGAGGTGCGTTAGGAGGATGTTGTTGGAACCCTGGAGGATGTGTCATAGGTTGTTAATAAGCACCTTGGGACTGTTGCTGAGGGATAAAAGCTTGTTTTTGATTGAAGCCAACAAATGGCTTGTTCTGGAATTGCTGTTGTTGAGGTGGATAGACTTGATTATGAGGGATTGCAACGTTGGTGCTTCTATAAAACAGATTTGCGTTGACTTTATAGTTATTGTTACCCTTTTGGTAACCGCCTTGATTCTGGATATAGCTCACCTCCTCAGTATTCTAATCACCATCATGAGGTTGAAAGGTCTCCTCCTCTTGAACAAAGTGAACACTCTTCTGCTGGTTCATCAAAAAATTATCGAGCTTTTCGTTAAGTGCCTTCATATCCTTCTTATACTTGTCCTCTTGGTCAGTGTTTCCCCGTACGGTTCTGTCATAGTCCTCATTGTATGTTCCATCGAACTGAGCTAGCTTCTCCACGAGTTCCCGATACTATGATTTTACTACCAATTACCCTAGAGTACTATCATGTCATTGCAGTACCATAGGTAGCGGAACAAGTAAATAACAAAAGAATTAAACAGAAAGCACAAACGGATAGAAGATCCTGAGGATGAGGTTATTGATGTAGGTGGAGTATCCTAATCTACTTCGAGTGTTTAACAAACGACAAACATACTAATCCCTAGACAATGAACATCAAATACTAATTAATCCAATCTCTTGGCAGAAACTATCATGTTTACAACACTTCCTAATCTCAAATCTCTTTGATGAAACATGTAGTAAACAGACATGAAGAAACAGTCCATTAATGTCAATAAACTTCTTAGACATCTAATCTCTTAGGCTAAGCAAGTATATCTCTGGTATTAATTGTTCATACATTTCATCAAACACTTGGTAGGTGTTGAAATGTCTGGGATCTAATTCCACTTGATCAGAGAAGAATTAGCTATGAATACACCAATCCAGAAGGGAACAAACGAATCTAACTTAAACACTCTAGCAAACTAACATTCTCTACCTAATCTATCCCATCCTCAAGAATCCTAACACTACTCAGACGTTGAAATCATGCTAAACATAATAAACCCAGAAGATAAACAATAATGATTCAAGAACTAAGAGCAAAATCTCAATAACTCAAAAGAAATATGAATTACAATTCTCTTGATTGTTTGGTGGCTAACAACAAAAACCTAAGGGTAAAAACTAAATCCCTTGGGCAATGCCAAAAGAGACCTAATTATACCAATGTTTGGGCAAAACTTAAAACATAAAACGACAAAGTAAAAATCGGTTTAAAAGTTGTAGTGACCCTGTTGGTCGAGTGAGTGCGTCGAGTAACACATAATTTCTTCTCTGCATTATTACATACTCGACTATGTATCTCGAGTGAGCGTGTCGAGTGATCTTTGAAATCATCTACTACTCCTTTGCTTTGCTCGATCGTTTCACTCGAGTGTGTGCATCGAGTGACAGGTGATTCTGCTTCGCGTCCCTTCTGCTCACTCGATCCGCTACTCGATCGTGTATGTCTGCTTCTCACTTGATCTTCGATGTATTTGCAATGTATATCTGCTGCTTACTCGATCATCCTACTCGATCGTGTGCCTGTCGAGTGATACTTGTTCCTCTGTTTTGCGCTGCATGTCTGCTTAGTACCTGAAACACTCCAAATATGCAGAATGTATGCAAGACATGCATGTTATGCATAAAACCTACCTAAGTATGCAAAACATGCAGAAAGTTATCAAAATATGATGCGAATCAACAAGTGAATGATGCTGAAAAGATAATGAATACACGCTCAAAAAGTGATGAAATACAAAGTTATCAACTGCCCTAAACTTAGTCTTTGCTTGCCCTCAAGGAAAGCAAAAAGAAACAAAGTGGAAGAGAGGTTTGAAAATGGGGTCTCATAACCTGTAACTTGCAAGCTAGAGCAGTTAAAATCAATGTCTTGGTTACTAAGTCTTTGATGCACCTAAGAGAACTTTACTTAAAGACTTTAGACAACTCATCAAATCCGAAACTGATTCTATCCCTTGATCTACACATGCATTCAAATCATTCATTCCTTTTAACATTCATTACTCAAGAATATGAATCTGGTTGTGCAAGGCTTAACAAACTCACTTGGCTAGACAGAAAAAGGTTTTGAGAATTGAGAGGGTTTAAACAATTTCAGGACAAGGATCTCTCAATGAATGAATTGAGCTTTCAGGAGAATACTAATGGTGAGGACCAACAAATGCATACATGAATAAAACCTTGACTACCCAATGGTTCCCAAGTGCTTACTCCTAATCATCTAAACCCGAATGATCCCTATGTCTACCCTTCAACATCATTCCTATTTTTTTTTTTGCCTCAGGATATGTTTCTTATCAATACTAGTGGATAGGGGATTTCTTCCTTACTATGGTTTTGTATCCTTCTTAAGACATAATACATCAAAACTTTTTCTCTCCCTTTTCATCCCAGAACCATTCTCTGCATAACATGCTATCCCGATAAAAATCAATCACTAGAGTATAAACTTCTTGAAAAACATTCTCCTCCTAAGGACACAACCTTTTTATTTTCTGTTTCTCTTCTGTCTTTCCACAATCATTCCAATCTCAAACCCAAGTAAGAATCCCATCCTAGTCCTATCTGATTTGAAAGTAGAAATCAGAGCTACTCAAGATTTTAATCCTGTCGGCTCATACCTAACACGTTCTCCCCAAGCATAATCCGGTAAAAGACCTACCACTCAAAAATTATCAATTGGCTTGAAAGAAAAGGATAGGTTGTGGGTATGGCAAACTGATCAAAAGAAAGATTAGCTACTTGGATCAACAAGAGTGGTGAAAGGAGGAAGATGATCCAAATATGTATATGGTGGTCATGAGTATGCAAGCAAAACACAACCAGATATTTGCAAGTCAAGATTAAGTCCTTATAAGGTAAGGAATGAGATCATATCACAACATGTTTCAACCAAGTTCAAGAATGCTCTTCATCAATTCCAAGTTTGTTTCAGACTTACTTCAAGTTCAATCATCATGCATCACAGAGCTAAAAACCAGGGCATTGATCTCAACTAGTGAATCATAGCAAGTTAACAAGGTGTAAATCATCATCGCCCCCTATGCTAATGCAACAGTCCTACATGAAACAATCTAGACTCAATCCTAATATGCAAATGTAAACTACAATGATCACTCTGTTTTTAAAGATTTTTTTCTGCAAATTTTTCAAATTTTTAGGGATTTTCAATGCATATATATGAATGCAGATTATATGCTAAAAAATCGAAATAAAAAAAGAGAACACAACATCAAATGTCATCCCAAACCCTCCCCCAAATTTAAATTACACAGTCCCTTGTGTAATAAAAATTTGACAGCTAGTTTGAGAATTAAACAAACAAAATTATGAAAATGCAATGGTATATACAGATTAAGGTTTGGAGTGATACCTTACTTAAAATAGCAGTCCACGTATGCAGTCATGGACTTGCTTGTGTAAGCGCTTGGTGTAGGCTGCGAAGGAGGAGCCTCTGCTGATTGCTCGACGCACTGCTCGACTGGATCCTCAACCTGATGTTCAACCGGATCCCTAGTAAGATCTTCAAAATGATACGCTCCTGGATCAACAGTCCAGTCTTCAATGTGATTCTTGTCTGGATCCCTACTCAAATCCTCAACGTGATTCTCGCCTTTGCTTTTTGCTTTGCTGCATTCTTCTTTTTCCTTTTCTATTTCTTCTTGTTATCCCTAAGCTCATAGGAAGACTCTCTCAGAGAAGAGAAAGAAACATTGTGCCCTAAATTCATAAGCGGGATGTCTTGATGGAGAAGGAGTTATGTTGTGTGCTAGTACATCACTCGTGGAGGAACATATCTGGACATGTCTGACGTCCTGACCAACATAAAACCAAAAACAAAACTCAAAATAATAAGGAATCCTAAGCAGTATTTACAGGGATACCTTTGAGACTTCCTCCCAAGTGAGCTTGTTTATAGTCACTAACCTTGACTGTTTATGCCTTTTTGGCTTAAGGAGGCTCATAGAGAGGTGCTGAAGCACCCTCTATTCTCAGAGATCTCATTCCTCTTCTTTTTCCTGGGTCAATGTCACAAGATCTCTTGCTCATCTTTACACTCACACTCTGTCTCCTAGAACAGGGACCATTGATTTTTCTTTTGAGTTTCTTGATTTGCCCACCCATTTCCTTGACCATAGCTGTTAACCTTGTCAACGAATCTTTCAAAACATTGATAATTTGAAGTTCTAAACAACCATCCAATGAGGGATTCATAGATTCTTTGACACCTTGCTGGAGTATTTGCTTAGTTGACTCATCTTCAGTGGAGAAGGTGTGTCCATTAACTATTGGCGTACTCAAGACGTCCTTGATATCAAACTTCATCTTGAAGTTCTTACCCGGATTGAGATCAATCATCCCTTTCCCAACATCAATGATTGCTCCTGTTGTAGCTAAGAATGGTCTTCCTAGGATAAGTGGATCTTGAGGCTCATCATCCATCTCCAAAACAATGAAATCAGTTGGTACTTCTACTTCACCAATATTTATTGGGAGATCTTCCAACAAGCCATATGGAACTCTAATCGTTCTGTCTGCCAAGATGAGGGACAGGTTACACGATTTGTATTGTGTAAAACCAAACCTTCTAGCCACAGAGAGAGGCATGAGACTAACTGACGCTCCTAGGTCACAGAGAGACCTACTAAAAGATAGTGGACCTATTATGCAAGGCAAAGTAAATGAACCAGGATCTTCTAGCTTCTTTGGGATAACCTCTTTATGGATAATGGCACAACACTCATGGTTAAGTGATCTTGCTCTCTCATCTTCCTCAGCTTTCTCCTGAGCATCTTTAGTTATTTCCATCTTCTCTTGAACCCTCTCCAAGAGGACCACTTTCATGATTTTATTGTAAGACGGAATCTTTGCATGAGCATCTACAAAAGCTTTTGTTAGTTCAGTCCCTTCAAGTGTGTCGAGCAGTCCTCTATACTTGTCCATTATTTTCTTCTTGAATCTTTTAGGGAATGGTAATGGAGGTGTAGGGTGGAGGAATGTAACGTCGTTCCAAACTGCTGGGAATATCATGTTTTACCATGGCTGGTGGATCATGATCGATTTTGATTTGTTGTGTGGTATCTTCATTTGGAGAAAAATCCTCCCCATCTAGATCCTCATTGTCCTCAGTGATATCCACAGAGTCTTTTGTAATAGGTAACTCTCTTAAGGTGATGGCATGGGCTGTTGCAAACTCTTTGGAGTTGTGGATGGCTTTCCCTAAAGAACTAGATACAATCTTGCTTTCCAGGTGAAGCATTCTAGAGGTTAAAGCTTCAATCTTGAGATTGAGAGCATTGTATGTGCAGTCCATCTTATTATTCATCTCTACAAACTTCTTAGCAGACTCTTTAGATCCACTTGCCTGTCCTTGTAATAGCAGCTGCAGCATGTTCCATATCATGATCTGGTGTCTGGGAGGCGGAGCCTGTTGAGGTTGGAATCCTGGTGGTGGTCCTGTTGGAGCTTGGTAACCTTGCTGAAATTGTTGTTTGGGCACATAACCTTGGCTGTAAGGCACAAATGACTTGTTCTGCCCCTGCTGCTGTGGTGGAGGTGGATATACTTGATCTTGTGGATTTGCAACGTTGGTGCTCCTATAAGACAGATTAGGGTTCTGCTTATATGATTTGTATCATGTGTTGTATCCACCTTGATTCTGGACATAGCTTATCTCCTTAAATTGTTCTCCCTCCCCATCTAGAATCTGGAAAGGGTCTTTTTCAGAGACGAAATGGACATTCCTTTGCTGGCTCATTAAGAGTCTGTCCAGCTTATCATTCACAGCTTGCATCTCCTTCTTGTACTTATCATCAAAATATGTGGTTGCTCTGATGGTTCTAGCATAGTCTTCATTGTAGTTGCCATCAGATTGGGCTAGGTTTTCAACAAGCTCCCAACCATCGTCGACGTCCTTGTTCAGAAAGTTGCCATTGCTGGCAGTGTCAAGTAACATCCGGATTTTTGGGAGAACGCCCCGGTAGAGAATACTAAGGAGAGACTCCTTGGTGAAGCAATGGTGAGGGCACTGAGACTGATAACTTTGGAAGCGCTCCCATGCTTCATAGAGTGTTTTCACCATTCTTCTGAGTGAACCCAGAAATGTCGTTGCGTAGACGTGCAGTTCTGGAGTTGGAGAAAAACTTGGCAAGAAACGACTGCTTGCATTGATCCCAGGATGTGATAGATCCTGGAGGAAGAGTTTTCTCCCATTGATGAGCTTTGTCACCCAGAGAGAATGGAAAGAGTCGTAACTTGAAACCGTCCTCACTGACTCCATTGATCTTGGTGAGACTGCAGAGACGAACAACCTCTTCGAGGTGATCCAGGGCGTCTTCCATAAATAGACTATGATATTTATTATGCTGGACCATGGAGATCAGACCACTCTTGATCTCGAAGTTATTGTTCTGCACGGTTGGAGGTACTATACTCTAACGATGGGTATGGTTGCGTGGAGCATCACCAGCTCCAATCCGTGTAGGTGCCCGTGGTGGAAGTGGTTGTTGAGGGTTTTCCATCTCCACTTGTGGTGGTGTAACTCTGTTGCGTTGCTGTCTTGATGCAGGTACCAAGCGATCAATAAAGTCGGAGGGCTGGAACAAGTTCTCTGTGCCTTGCGACCGTGTGTGTATACAACTCAAATCAACTTAGCTCGCGAGACGGTTGAGTGTGTCAGTCGAGTAGGAGCAGTTGAGCAAGAGTTGTACATGAATCAATAGACAAGCATAAAGAACAAAGTGAGTAACTTTAGTAAATGTTGAATAAAAACTTGATCTTAGCAAGTCTGAAATCTCAAATGTAACAAACAAACACCCAAATGGCAGCGGCGCCAAATTGATATTAGGATTTTACTACCAATTACCCTAGAGTACTTTCATGTCATTGCAGTACAATAGGTATTAGTCTAATCAGGTGTGATGTTAGACACCAAAATCATGTTAAACATCATAAACCCAGAATCGTTCAAAACATGCATAATAATAACGATGACTGGAAGATAAACAATAATGATTCAAAAACTTAAAACATAAAACGACAAAGTAAAAAGTGGTTTAAAAGTTGTAGTGACCCTGTTGGTCGAGTGAGCGCGTCGAGTAACACATTATTTCTTCTCTGCATCATTACATACTCGACCATATATCTCGAGTGAGCGTGTCGAGTGATCTTTGAAATCCTCTACTACTCCTCTGCTACTCGATCGTGTACGTCTGCTGCTCACTCGATCGTCGATGTATTTGCAATGTATCTCTGCTGCTTACTCGATCATCCAACTCGATCGTGTGCCTGTCGAGTGATACTTGTTCCTCTGTTTTGCGCTGCATGTCTGCTTAGTACCCAAAACACTCCAAATATGCAGAATATATGCAAGACATGCATGTTATGCATAAAACCTACCTAAGTATGCAAAAAATGCAGAAAGTGATCAATATGATGCGAATCAACAAGTGAATATTGCTGAAAAGATGATGAATACATGCTCAAAAATTGATGAAATACAGAATTATCAGTTCCCAACCAGCTTCGACATCTTTGTTTAGAAAATTTCCATTGTTGGCCGTATCGAGAAGTAGGCAAAACTTAGGTAGTATTCCTCGGTAGAGAGTACTAAGCAGCGACTCGTTGCTGAAGCCGTGGTGAGGACATTGGGACTGATACCTTTTGAATCGCTTCCATGGCTCATAGAAGGTTTCGTTGTTTCACTGAGCAAAGCTAGAGATGTCGTTCCTCAATCGTGTGGTTCATGCATTGGAGAAGAACTTAGACAAGAATGCTTTCTTGCACTCCTCCCAGGTTGTGATTGATCCAGCTGGCAATGACTTCTCCAATTGATGAGCTTTATCGCCAAGGGAGAAAGGGAACAATCTGAAACACGGTTTTTATTTGTCTTGGAGTTCAATTCCCCAGTGCAATATAGTACATGAGGTTATTGATCCAAATAGATGTATTGTAATCAATCAAGATATATCAGAACTAATCAAGTCAAGCCAAGCAGTTGAAAGTTTGGTTGAAAGAACTCTAATGTATAGAAGTAAACTACATAATGATAAACTAAAAGATCTAAGAACAGTACTGAAGATAAGCTAAAGGATCTAAGAGAACTACTGAAATGAAACGAAGAATGCAAAAACTACAGAAGCAATATTGAAAATAGAAATGAAGTAAGTAAACAGTCAGATAAACAAGGGTCTTAAGGATGGGATAATGGGGTGATGAATCCTCTTTAATCTCTTTAGGATGCTTAACATACTCAAATAGATCTAATCCTAGACAATGAACCACTTAACCTCATCAGTCCAATCTCTTGGCAAAGATTATCAGATCTATAACACTTCCTAATCTCAACGTTCATTGATGAAACATACTATAGATAGGCATAAAGAACAAGCTCATTAATGTCAATCTACTCTTTAACAGCCAATCTCTTGGATAAGTAAATAAATCTCTGGCATTAGTTGATCAGACATTCCACTTGAACACTTTTTGAGTGCTGGAATGTCTAAGATCTAATCCCACATGGTTAATGCTAAGATTAGCAATTAAATCTCCTAATCCATAAGGTATCTACCTAAATCTATACTTAAGCATCCCTAGAGACTAAGATTCCTCATCACCTAACCCATCCTCTAAACCCATAAAACTACTAAGATCTAGAATTCATCATCAAGAACATAAACCCAGAAATCTTTGAATCTTGCATAACTGGATAGATAATGATCTAATGAGCAAAATATTATAAAGAAGCAACTCTAAGAATTCAATAGATCAAAAGATATTAAGATTACAAGTTTCTAGAAATGTTTGATGACTACAAAGAAAAACCTTAATGAAAACTCGATTTTTTGCTTAATGACCCAAGGGGTCTATTTATACTAAAGGCAGGAAGCCCTAAAACAGAAAAAGACAAATTACAAAGTCAATTTGAGAAGAGCTCGGTCGGGTTCATGTTGGTCTCGTTCGGGTCCTCTCTCTGCTCGTCCGAGTCCAGCTTCCTCCTCTAAGTCCGGGTGCTTGATCGTGCTCGCCTAGGTCGGGCTCAGTACACCCGATCGGATCCGTGCTCTGAAGTGTCCGGGCGTGCCTGTTTTTACTATAAAATGCAGATGATATACAATTGCCTATGCTAACAATCCTAAATGTGAAATATGATGGAAATAGGCTAAAATTCCTGAGAAATAGGGCTCGAGACATGCAAATGATGCTCAGAACATATGCTTAAAAGTGTAAAAATATAGAGTTATCACCAGCCGGCGGAGAATTCATCTCATCCGCCGAGACGAATTCTTCCTACGCCCCTTTCTCTAATTCTTCGCCCGCTCACTTCCCTTGTTCGTCCGGTGCACTAGGTTCTTTGGCCGCCGCTTTTGCTTGTTCGGCTACTTCCGCCGGCGCCGACAACACTTCTTCATCTTGTTTCAACCATAGTTCTTCCAAATCAATTACAATACAGTCTCCAAAAGATGAAACCTCCTCCAAAAGAGATTGGGAATTTTGAATGCTCAAACTTAGAGAAAAAGCGAAGAGAAGAGAAGAAGAAGAAACGGCTCGGTCGTTTAGGGATTCGGTTGAGTTTTTTAATTTTTTTCAAATTTTGTTTTTTTTCCGGGTTTCTTGGTTTTACTTATGGGTGGGTGGATATATCCGGGTTTTGGATTGTAATATTAGAGTTTTGATGAGGGTACTGTTGTAATTGATTCATTTTTCTATTTAAAAAATAACAAAAAAAAAGAAAGAAAGAATAGAATGGGAGATACGAGATTTGTTTGCCTCAAATAAGGACATGGGAGATAAAACCACTTTTCTCATGTATCCTTTTTCACATTTTTCATCCACTATCTCCCTTTTTAATCTCAATACCCCTACTTCATTAATGACAATGTGTCATTCCCAGACTACCCCTCCTTATTTTCTTTTTCTTTTATTTACTTTAATTACAAAAAAAACAAAAAAAAAAATCGAACCAAATCCGACCCTGACCTGCTCCTCTCCGCCTCCTCCTCCCAAACCCAACGTCGTGGTTGGTTTTTGGTGTCGGAGCTGTCAATTCCGGCGACGTCGGAGGCCCTGCGTTTCTTCTTCTCTTTTGAGCTATACAAAGCTCCAAAATGCAGGTACATTCTTCAACTATAAGCTTCATATTTGTTTAGAATTTTGAAATTTGATTGGATTTTGTTTGAGAAGATAAATCCTAAGCACATTGGATGTTTGACCATGGGTTATGGGTTGATTGAGCTATTTAGTTGATTAGAATGAATTTAGACCCAGATTCGTCTTGAATTGCAGAGTTTAGAATCCGGAATCGAAATTCGATTTTGAGTAGAACTAGTAAAACTAGACACTGTGTTAAATATAGTATAACTAGTAAAACTTGTAGTACTGGCATAACTCGTATAATTGGTAAAACTGGTAAAATCAAGTAGTACTGGAACTGGTAAAACTAGTAAAACTGGTAAAACTGATTTTGTTTTTTGTATTTTTTTGGCAGGATACAATGAGCGAAAGTGTATCCATATATTTTAAGTGTGAATGTCAGATGTATAGTATTATGATCAAGACAAAAGTGAGTGATATAACGTTGTTGATGCTAAAAGGAAGGATAAATAAGAAGGTTGGATTTGTTGATAGCCACGTTAAATTGGAGAAGGAAAAGTGTAAGATTTATAATGATGAGGATTTGGATGTGTATTTGACGTCCTTTGATAAAGAGAAGCGAAGATGTGTGTTGTATGTGGATGTCACAAAGGTATCGGAACAGCCTGAGCAAGTGATTGAAGATGATGATGATGATGATGATGATGATGATGATGAGGCTGTTAGAGTGGACCAAAGTTCTGTTGGTATGAATTATCAAAACCAACAAACTAGAGATGATGAGGCCATTGTTCTATACATAGAGAAAGATAAAGGAAAGGGTGTAGAGGGCAATTTTGAAACTTTAGGACGTGAAGAAGGTGATGAATATGTTGAACAACCACCTGGTGTAACACCTTCTACGTTTATAGAGCCATGGGAAGACGGTTTGACTTTGATGAAATTTGACGAATTCCCAAACAAGAAGGCATTGCAAGAAGTGGTGGATAGAGCTTCGTTTGCTAACTGTTTTAGGTTTAAAATTTTGA